AAGCAAAATGCCCCCAACATGAACAAACAGAAAGGAAGGTAGACTCTTCTAGGGTAGTCCACCCTCCTCAGACACAATTACATTAACAAACAATTTCAACAAGAACTACACATCAGCAACAATAAGTGTTCTTTTTAACCGAGAGTGTGGCATCATCCGAGAGACACTTTGCATGGCCACACCCCCTAAGCCCCCCATGGCAGCATGGCCCGTGGCAGGCGCCACAGTACTTGGTATCAAATTCAAGGTATCAGTATTGAAAAGGTTTTGAACAATGCTCAGCCCTAATCTCACACCCAGTTTCAAATGCATTGTGGGAGGGGACTGTGGCCACATCAAAGCACATTTTGTGCTGCACCTTCTCATGTATGCACATCTGATCCTGAATGTGAAGTGGGGGGGCACCACCCGTCGCTCAGCGCAGCTGGGGCCCAAAGCCGGACCCAGCTGTTCAGATACCAGACCTCCAGAGCTGCAGTGGGAAATCCAACAGCAGTGGTCTCACACACACACATGCATTTATATATGGATTGTGTGGGCATTAACCTGAGAAGTTCAGCAGCAGCTGCAGCCACATTCCATTCTACTGCTTGTCTATGTTAAAGGGGAATTCCACCAATTTTTTCAAAAATTCTACATTATTCAGTCAATTCAGCAAATTTGTTTGATGTCAATGTTTATTGCAGAGAAACCTTGACTTCTGACTTTATCTTCTTTACAGTGGTGATGATAGGAACCAGGGATCAGAGTGAATACAGTGCAAATATAGCCATTTTATTTACTATTAAATGACTAGTGTGCCTTCTGAGCTTTTATATACATAATATTAATGATGCCGTGAATGTTTTTTAAAAATATACATTTTAGGCCAATAGGCAAAAATCTTTTTTTTAAAACTATTGTAATGCAATGCCTCAGACATTGGGCAGCATATTTGTGACCACATCATGTAATAACTGTCTGTGAGGGAGCTTTTAGAGGCATTAAACACTCCTAACGTCTGTCTCCAATCACCACCACTGCTAAGTTTCTTAAGAAGTGGAGAACTTCCCAGCAAACACTCTGAGTACATCTTATAGATTTATAATGTACGAATTTTCAAAATCGGTGGAATTCCCCTTTAAACAGTAAAGAGGGCCAGCTTGCACCTCTGCAACCGCACGTCTCAATCTACACTCTTAAAATTACAGGTTCTGGAACCGTTCTCGGGCCTGGACACACAGTTTTGTGAAAAAAAAAAAACATGAGTTGGTATAGAACCTTTACGTCTAACATTAAAGATAACTTACATTATCTTAAACTTTCAAAATTGTACTTAATTGCATGGGTCAGATGTAAACAAAGAGTGATTTGATGTGAAATACTCAATTCTAGAGAAACTTGAATTGTTCACAGAGGTGGTAAAAGGAACCAGAAGTCTTAAGAATATAATGCCTCTAAAAGCCTCTAAAAGTGCCTGTAAACTTAATTTATTTAACCCATTCATGGACGAGAGATACACACAGGATGTTGTAAGGCCAAGATAGTTCACAAGGAAAGCTTATTGTGTTCAGATCTGCCACTAGTGTACCATTATCAGCATTACAAATTCAGGACTTCAAACTCAGAAGTGACATGTTGGTGCAATTGTCATTTTGGAGAGTAAAATAGTGGTTGTATTTGTGTATAGACAGTGTGACCCCTGGTTCCTATCACCACCACTGTAAAGAAAGTCAGTGGGTAAGTTTCTCTACAATGAACCACTTCACATAAAACCACTCTGAATGACTTTGTATACATCTCAGTGACTAAATTATGCAGAAATTTTGAAAAATCAGTGGGCTTGTCCTTTAAAAAGGTTCTTCAAACTCGCACATCTCACATATATCGTTCAAGAACGCCTCACTGAAAGCCTCTTCTGTGAAACAAGTGGTTCCTCTATGGGATCCCTCCAAAGACCCTCTTTTTGGCATGCTCGTTTTCTAGAACATGTTTTAAGAACTCCTAAATCTCATGGTGAAAGTAAACCCAGGTGAACCACCCACCATCCCTGGATCAGATAACTGTTACACATCCTGCAGTAGCTGAACTGAGAGAGAAATGAGCTTCACCCTGATACACTCCCCTGATATGTATCCTCACTCACATATTACATCACACCGCTCCACTCCTCCCGTTCAGACGCTTTTAGAGCTGATCAAACATTTCCTAATGAAATATCATTAAACGTGATTGTACTAGGAAAATAATTATACATCATTTTTTGCAATAAAAGAGGTTTTCAAACATCATTTTGGAATAAAATTAAATAAAGAGAAAGTATGTCAGGACTCTGATTAATTAATAAGTTTAGTGGGGGGAGTGTTTGTAATACATTCAGCTCAAAATTCTCTTAGTCATGATATCTAAAGGCAGCAGAAAAGCAAGAACATTCAGCGCCCTCAGCAAAATGCTAAATTTCTCAACAGTGCGAGTTATTGGGCATAAAAATAAGCTAATCAGAGAATTAAAGCATTCATCAATAGTTTATGCATGCAGTGGAACCACCACTGGACTTCAAGGATGGTCTTCTAAAAAGCAAACTGGACTTCAAGGATGGTCTTCTTAGACATGGATTAAGTTTAATCTTGGACTAAATCACGATATCAGTGCTATTTCAGAATGGCTCTTAGGCCCAATAGTGTTAAAGGATATTTTCACCCATTTTTGAAAATTTCTGCATTATTACATTGCTTAGATGTGAACAGTCATTCAGAGTGGTTTGATGTGAGACACTATTCTAGAGAAACTTCCCAAGACAGCTGTTCACAGTGGTGGTGATAGGAACCAGACGTCTTCATCATGGCAGAGAGATACATGTAGAGTTCTGTAAGGCAAAACTAAGTCCCCCAAAGGAGCGTACTTTGTTAGATTTACCTTCATCAGCATTACATATGAACTCAATAGACACGTGTAGGTTCACTGGTTGGTTTGGAAAGCAAATAAAATGGCTACATTTGCCTTGTAGTCATTGTGACGCCTGGTTCCTATCACCACCACTGTAAAGTAATCAGAGTCCATAAGTTTCTCTACAATGAACCACTTCACATTGAACCACTCTGAGTGGCTATGCTTACATCCCAGTGTTTGAACTAAATTATGCAGATGTCTAGCAAAATCAGTGGAATTCCCCTTTAATTCAGCATTGAGCATCTTGGCGGTCAGTAAAAGTAAGAGGTAAACGAGTGAAGTCAGTAAAAAGCTTTCACACCTACCCTCCTCTTTAGCCTTCCCAAACACAAGGCCATGTCCATTGGCCCCTCAGTCCAGAGTCCAGTGCGCTTTTTCTGCCTTAAACTGGGTTTAGACCTTAAACTCTAAAGCTGTTTCCATACTGAGAGGCTAACACTGTGCCTCGAAACTGTATGCAAGAATAACAGAGCTAATCGGTGCTTTATGGCTCCAGTGCGCTCGGTGGCTGCCCAATTTGGCATTAGCGTTTATCATGTGTTGTCACTACAGACCCACACACAGCTTAACTGCAGTCAGAGCAGACTTAAGAAGAGTACCCCCTCTCTCTCTCTTTCTCTCTCTCTCTTTCTCTCTCTCTCTCTCTTCCTCTCTTTCCTCCGGCAAATCTCATTTAGAGGGAAATAGAGTTCTCTTTGTGCACTCATGAGGGACAGACAGCCCATGTGGTGGAAGAGGGGAGGAAGGAGAAACAGAGGGAGGGAGGAAAAAAGAGAGAGGGCGGGAGGGAGGGAGGAGGGATGGGACAGTACTGTGGCACTGAGGTGGGGGGGGGGTGTCTCGGTATTTCCTAAAAGGGGCAAAGGGACGACCAGCTGTTGCCGCCAAATATGAGTCTTCAGAGGGCCGTCGTGACAACTGAAAGTGGGTGTGACTGTGTGTGTGTGTGTGTGTGTGTTTGTGTGGACTGTGGGATATAGAGTTGGAGCTCAAAGACTTTCCATCCAGCTTGGCACGTTAAGAATTTCACTCTCACACACGCAGCAGACTAAACAGTTTTTACAGTCGCACTGTAACATGAAACTAACTTTTACTGCAGATAAAATTATTTTAGTATAGTTTTGGTTCTTCACACACCTCGCACACCTTTCAAGAATAAAAAAAAGAATGAAGAAAAATGTTAGATGTGTCCAGAATAATGAACAGAGCTGTAGATTATCTATAATTACTGAGGAAGTTACAGTCAAGTTAATGCCCAGAATGCCTCGTATCTGAGAAATGGTGATCAAATTTTGAACCACAATGTATTTAGAAATGATTGTAAATAGATAATTATAGTATATTAATAATATACAAGATTATTCCAAACCTTTAAATGATTATTTCAAACTTCTGTACAGTGATTTCCAACTTTTGAACAATGGGGATTTCAAACTTTTTAATGGGGATTTCACACTTTTAAATGATGATTGCAAACTTTTATACGATGATCCCAAACTTTTTAATGATGATTTCAAACTTTTCAAATAATGATTCCAAACTTCTGAATAACGATTTCAAACTTTTGAATGATGATTCAAAGCTTCTGACCAGCGATTTCAAACTTTTAAACATTGATTCCCAATTTTTGAACAATGATTTAAAACTATTGAGTTTAACGTCCTCTATGGCCCGACTGGCTGCAGTACAGAGTAATATGATATTAAATATTCTACATGACTGATAAGAAGATTTTCCATGAATATTGATAAAAATTGCTACAAATTCAAATAACAGCTAATATTGGCTGAAATAATTGTACATGGTCAAAAATAAAGCAGAATACAACACGTTAACAATGACGGCGTTTTTGTCCAGGTTTACCATTTAGGGCCAATAACATCCTTAGTAATGAGTTTTTTTCATTATGTTAGAAGAGTGTATTCCTAATAATAACAAACTTGAGATTTATATTATATGTATGAAAGTAACACTTTATCTTAATATTATCTGATTTTATCAGCCTTTTGAGATATCGGTCAGGCCCTAGTACTGAGTGACAGAGCAATGTTTGTGTGTGTGTGTGTTCTTACCTCCACAACCTCAGTGCAGGCATAGGCGATGATCCCCTGCTCATGAGCATCCAGCACAGCCACCTGCACCAGAGCATTCGGCTTTCTGTCCCTGAACTCTGGCACCAACTCTCTACAGGCTGAGAGAGAGAGAGAGAGAGAGAGAGAGAGAGAGAGAGAGAGAGAGAGAGAGAGAATGAGTGAGAGAGTGAGAGAGAGAGAGAAAGAGAGAGAGAGGCAAGGGTTGGCAAACAGAGAGTAAAGGGTAAGTGAGCACAGGACATTTACAGGAAGAACAGCACAAAGAGAGGTAAAGGGAAGGCCAGAGTGAGAGAGAGAGAGAGAGAGAGCGAGAGAGAGAGACCCACTATGGCACTGTTGCCATCAGGCCTTATGGTGTAGAGTTGAGGGTCAGTTTCTGTCTCAGAGAAACAGGAAAGCACATGACCAGCACAGCAAAGCTGAGAGAAGATCTCTCTCTCTTTCTCTCTCTCTCTGTCTGTGTTTGTATGCAGTCAAATTACATTTGATGATCTTCTAAGTGAAGTTACACCTCCTCCACATCGAACACACTTGAATATGACACTTTTCTGCATATTTTAGTGCACAATGTCTTTTTATTTGATGAATTAAGCATAGTGGACAAAATGTTAAATTAAAAATAACACACTGGAAAAAATTGTATATAATTTGCCACAACTTCACCATAGGCCACATTTAATGTTTTATACTTTTAATGTTAAATTCAGTAATTGTGCAGTAAAATGTGCAGAAGTGTGACTCAGTAGATGATGTGCAACTTATTTTTCAAAACAAGTCATATTTTTAAAAGAAGTAATTTGACCAATTTATTCTTTTTCCTCTCTGCTTTCTTCGGTTTCTCTCTATGTCTCTCTCTCATTTTCTCTCTCTCTTTCTCTCTCTCTGTCTGCTGGGCTGGGCCATTCTTGTACATACATGCCATCCAAAGGAGGATGATTATGTTTTCTCTCTCTCTCTCTGTCTCTCTCTCTCTCTCCCTAAGTATGTATCTCTCCTTCTATTTTTTTTAATAGCTCTTTAATTTCCATCAGTGAAAGTTTTTTCACGAAGCCCTCCCCCCAGTTTCCTCCAGCAGGAAAGGCCAGTCTCCCCATGCTTCACTTACAGACGAAAGGACAATTTCCCTTTCCCACTCCCTCTCCCTCTCCCTCCTCTCTCTCTCTCTCTCTCTCTCTCTCTCATGCCTGTGTTTGATTTAGCTGTCTTCTTTAGTTGCCGCCCACTCAAACAGCTCTACACAATAACTTTACCCATTCACGATAAAAGCACAGGCAGAAGTGCAGTAAACACATCCGTAAAATGAGCAGGATTAATTTAACCCACACTGCTGAACTGCTGAACTGCTCCAGTCTAAGTTTCCACTCTTTCCAGGCCTAAATGGACGCTGTGGGCGTTCGTTTAACACCAGTGACTTTTCAGTGTTAGAGAAACAGAAGTGGACCCAAGGCCGACTGGAGGCCTTTCAACCCATCCACACATTCTTTAATGAGCTGTTAAATGCTTGTTTTTGCTTTTTTCTATCTGAGGACGTTTTGGACACTCATTTTCTGCATATAAATACTTCATTATATAACACTAGTGTATCAGATTAATTAAACTTTTAGGAGAATGTATGGCCAGAGTGGGCCTTCTGAATTGAGGCCAAAGTGTACATTTTACCTAAATGGAAAGGAATTATCTGGCATAAATACAGAAATCGATCCACACATAAAATGTTGGTAATGTTGGGACACAAAGCTGGGCTGAAAGACCAGTGAGGGACCGGTCTTAAACTCATGTTAACTCTCAGCTGTAACCAGTGCCAGACTGAGAAATTGGACCGGTAGCACTTTGAGCTGGTTACTGTGAGCTATGTATCAAATCTTATACACTGGGGAGAAATTAGATGAAGCTGAGTTTAGCTTCTAATTCTCATTTCCTGTTCCACCTTAAAATGTGTCGCAGTTACGTTCAAATGCCTGTGTGGGCACTTGTGAGTAACTGCTGCACTACTTATGGTAGAATGGAAACTCAAACAAGGTAACATCAACCTTGAGAGATAAGTGTGTCAAAGTCAGCACAATCGTACTTCTTTGCACTCCTGATGTAGCAGTTTATTTGTTAATTATTATTAATAATGTGAAAATGGATAGCAAAGACAAGAACTGCAAAAAAGGGCAGCACTAAAAGAGACAAAAACAAAAAAACTACTTAAGGAGGATGAGGACATATCCGAGCAGGTGGGCAGTGAGAAATGTTGACCCTAAATGTTGGGTAAGCACCCTACACTATACCAATAATGGTCCTTGGGCAAGACTCCTAACACTATCTTTGCCTACCTGTGTAAAAATGATCAAACTGTAAGTCGCTCTGGATAAGAGCCTCTGCCAAATGCTGTAGAGGTAATGATTAATGAAGTGTTAATACCCATTAACAAACTATTTTTAGACCATTCATAAATGTTTTATAAAGGTCGTCTTGTTTGAAAGTGGTACTGAAATTTCTTAATGTGTTCATAAGGTCAGAGCATCATGGTATACTATAGTGGTTCATAACTGAAAGAACATCAATATGAACTAAAAATGGGCCGAATATTTTGACTTGCCTATGTCTCTTAAAATACATACTATACTCTGAAACTCTAAAATCTGTAAAATGAACCATATTTATCTGTTTGACATGTATGGAGTTTATGACTGGATTAACATTAGCTTGCTTGCTAACTTGTTTGCCTCCACTATCTCACTAGAGGCATACTGGTAGCGTCAAACATGAAATTTGTCTGAAATTGTATTTGACTGTTAGATGACTTTCAAGCAGACATTAACTTTAGCTGTGAAATAAATTCAGAGCTGTTGGCTAATGTTAGCTAACCAACCCAGTTACACTGCTAACCTGTCAGCTAATCTTTACATGGTTCAAAACCTTCTTAAAACCTTTTTGCTACTATACAGAACCTTTTTTACTAAGACTGCACTGCTGTTAATCCAGCCAACGCCAAGCCAAGTACATTTTCTAAAATTGAACAATATAATGTTATTCCAATAAATCCCAGCAATACCATAAACCATAGAGCTATCATGAAGTCACAACTGAAGGGCAAGCAGACATTATACCAGCATTTTTACACCAGCTTGATGATGAGACACATTATCTTTGAATCCTTTTCCTCTCCTTGATGTGCTCTCTGAAGCGGCTGATCCATCACGCACACACATTACACTCTCGAGTGAGGCCTCGATTTCTATCAATTCAATCCGCTACTGGAATGACTGCACTCATATCAAGGTGAAGGTTCTGTTAAGTTGTTCTGCTGTGTACTAAAACAGGACAACAGTGTCTTCTGCAGTGTATAACTGGATTTATCATACTGCAGGTAGAACAGATGAAACATACTTCATAGAAGTCACAATAAATAATATGAATTCTATATTATTTAAAGGGGTGTTTCGTCCACTGTGGCCACTGGGGTGTCCCACGTGCAAGGAACCGTATAAACCTGGCTCACACTTCTTTAAGTTTAGTGGGCTGAAAGTTCTTAGTCCATGTTTTGAAGTTGATTTTTGTGGGATAACAGGATGTTTGTCAGAAGAAGCACATTCAGCTCTTATCACTGATAATATTTTCCATTACATCTTCCACACCAGTCATGCTGCATTTTCGCTGCAACAGAGGGTGATTGTGTAAGTGAAAATGTACCATGCGCACACAAACCTGTGCCAGACACAGTCTCTGGCAGTGTGCAGCAGCGCTTAGTGAAGCAGATAGCCTAACAGCTAACTTCACGGCCTTTTATTTGTATCAACATTACAAGATTACATTACAAATCGCCAATCCCTACTTGTCAGACTGAAATATGGACCCTTGCTGCTTCCACACAAGAGGAAATCCACAATAAATAACACCACATTACACAGTATGTAATGGCCTTGGTTGCTAATGCAGTAATGTGTTATGAACAGTGTTGGAAGTACGAGTCACAAAGCATCGCATTACTATAATTCCACCACTTTTGGTGGTGACAAGCAATGTATCTAACTACCTTTTCAAGTTAAATAATGAAATTACAATTACTGAAATTGAAATTGTTGTTTTTGTCATGTGTGAAAACATTAATGGACAACTGCAGACTATAGCAGACAAATGCAGCCTTTTCCCCCAGTTTCCTGTTAATGATCTAACATTACCCAACCTCATGGGGTGGAATGAATGAGTGAATCAATTAGCATTAGCCCACGCAATGGCCGACAGTTCGGGCAATGTGAGCTTGCGGTCCTGGAAATATGGGCATTATTTTTCCCTCAAGATCTTTGAGACCAAGGACAAAATATACTGGTGAGTTGTACAGGTGTGAGAACTTCCACACTAATTTTCTGAAGCACCTGGAAAAACAACACACCTCTGCAAAGCTAATCCAGAAAGACCCCAGTGCTAGTGGAACGACCAAGGTGCCACTCGCAGGGCTTGATTTTAAACCCAAGACTTCATCTGCACAGTCTGTAAGCCAGGCAGAACTAAACAGACTGACTGCCAGGTATGTTGGTGAAGACAAGCATCCTATATCAACAGTTAGAATGTCAACATTACAAGTGTAGAAGTAATGTAACTTTCTCTAGTAGCTAATTACTTTAATATGCAGTAATTAGTAAAGAAATTCAATTACTTTTGAAAGAAGTAACTAGTAACTGTAACTAATTACTAATTTTCAGTAACTTGTACTGTAAACAGTGGTTATGAATAGCTTGGTCAGTGGAGGTGATGGGGAAGCTTCCTTAGCCATTCAGGAAGACCAACCCGTCAGGGGTAGATTTAGTGATTCTGGGGCTCTAGACAGGAATGGGGCCCAATAGATACACATTTTTAACACCTTAAAATCCCAGGCTTCTTACATACTAAGGTTTATTATCCCGTAACTACATGGACTTCAGTGCATACTGGTTGAACTGTTCTTAGGTTACAGACATGTGTGTAGTAAAACTTGAGGCCTGAAGTTTTACTGCACATTTCTATAATCTAAGAATATCTCAGATAGCTTGCAACAGTATGTCATAAGCCTGGGCTTTTAAGAGTTTATCTAAGTTGAGGCTCAGGCTTTTTAACCCTGCAAAAAAATGATATC